TTCGTCGCCTACTATGGTCCTTCCGACCTCCATCAACAGGCAATTGTTTTTATGACCTCGGTCTCATGCCAACTACGGTCCTTCTGACATTCGTCGCCTACTATGGTCCTTCCGACCTCCATCAACAGACAACAGTCTTTCCAACCCCGATCTCATGCAGACTACGGTCCTTCTGTCCTCTGTCGCCTACTATGGTCTTTCCGACCTCCATCACTAGACAATGGTCTTTCCGACCTCCATCATATCGACTATGGTCGTGCCGACAAAACAAACACATTATTGTAACTCCCTCCATGTAATGCACTCTATATGATGTACATTTGTGACTTCAAGCCAAGGCCTTCTCCCAAGGAAGGGCCTCATTTGTAATCGACTACAAATACTAGTGGATTCATTCAAACTGAGCCAGGCCCCGTGGTTTTTTCCCCTTTTTAGGGGTTTCCACGTAAAAACTCTGGTGTCTCTTATGAATGCTACACCCTCTCACTTATCTGATTGTGTGCTGGATCTTCGTACAATGCTAAGACGTTAAACTATATATTTCTCTACTGCCGCGAATACTCCAGGACACAACAGTGGTCGAATGGTTGTTTCAAGAGAATGAACGAAGGTGGTGGAGAGGGAGAGAGCACACCTCTCAACTTCTAAGATTAATACAAGAATAAAATTAACATAAGGAACAAATTCAATATACTAATAATCTCTATCTTGATTTAATTTTACAAAGTTCAAAAACACACTTTGTCCACAAATAGCAGCAAAATAGAATGAAGTTTTGTTTGTTTACCCTATGCCTTTTGTAGGATTAATTATTATTTCGGAGACCAACAAGAATGTGTCACATCATCCCTTACTCGGTACTTCTCCTTACCGCTCGGCACTGCTGACGTGGCTCCGGACGATGTTCTGCATCCTATCTCCGCACAAAATAATTTATCCTTTTGTAGAAAGTAGTTTTAATATATATATATATATTTTTTTGAGAGAACTGAGATTTCTAACGGACTAAAAAGCTTTTGAAAAGAGTATAAAAATGAAGTTCAGTAAAAAAAAGTTTTACAAAAGCGTCACATACAAATAAGAACAAAAAACAATTTTGTCATTTCAAAGCATAGAAGGAAAAATTAAGCAGTCTTAAACAAGACATAAGATTTCTTGCTTTGTTTCTTGCTTTTTTACCTAAATTCAAGAAAACTCTCTTCCAAAAAAAACTTAGGATTTTGTTGTTCTTTTGGCTTCTTTGTTTATAAATCATGGCAACAAGGAAACTTGAGCTTATAGTTCGATAATTTACTTATTCTAAGGCTTTGTTTGGGGACTTTCTTGCTTTTGCTTTAAGAACCAGCAAGAAAACGTCCAAAATGAAACCTAAATTGATTAAAAAACCTGCTCTTTTTTATGGATTGAGAGGAGAATTATCATTTTCTACGTAATTAAAATTTGGATGTTATTATCAGGAACGTAACCACGTAAGATTAAAGTTATTTATTTTCTTTAATGTAATTAATTGATAGTGATATGCGTGATTTTCAAAAAAATGAAGATTATTTGATGGTAAGATAATTGTTTAAAATATTTTAATTCAGGCAAATTATTTATTCATGAATTATATTCTATGTGGGTGAGGTACAATAGTCATTTATGATAACTATTTATCATTAACAACTAATCTACCTTAATCAGAATATTAAATTATTATAAGAATATGTTGTCTTTTTTTAACCCAAATTCAAATTGACCTAACCTACCTCGCGATAATTGTCGCCAATAATGTCTCAGTGGATGATTCAGATCATATCTCTTAGCTTTTGTTTGAGATGACTCTTTTATTGAAACTTTTATTTTATCCGGTGAACGTACGCTCCTCTACGTTCGGTTCTAGGTAAAAAAAATGCAATACCGAGTATTGAGTACCGAGTTGTACCGAGTTTTTTCAAAAAACTCGGTATTGCGCTGTTTTGGTCTAAAACCGAACGTAAATGAGCGTACTTTCACTAGATGTAATAAAAGTTCCTTTTATTGTTCTTCAAATCAGTTTTTTATATCAAAATTTTATTAAAAAATTATTTTAAGAAATAGTAAATAAAAAAGTCTCAAATGAGGCTTCGTTTGGAATAACTTTTTTATTGATTCTCAAAACCGAGTTTTAGTACAAAAAAATTAACTTTTGTACTAAAACTTTATTTTGAAAACTAATAAAAAAACCATCCCAAACGAAGCCTTAATCTCACTATAAAATCAATGGTGATTAACCCAAATTTTAACAGTCAAATTAATTAAAAAAAAATTACAAAGTTTGTCAACCCGTTGATAGGGGGCCCCCAATCATGAATACGATCAGTTTTTTAGTCATTTTCAAACCATTAAGATTTTATTTGGGACTATTTTTTTATTGCTTTTTGAAGCAACTTTTTATTATAAAAATTTAAATATTTGTACTAAAAAATTCTTTTAAGAAACAGTAAAAAAATCGTTCCAAACAAAATCTAAATCATGATTTAAGCAATCAAAATGTCAAAAAAACAAATTGCAAAATGTTAATTTTTTTTTTCATGATGTTTCAAGATTTTTTTTAACCTCCAATTTTATTAAATTTAAGCACCAATTTAATTCCTATAAAAATTTATTATATTTACATTGTTGTTATCAGATCTCAAATTTTGAATAAATAAAAAATAAAAAGTAATCCACAAATAGTATAAAATTCATCAAATAATTATGAAATAAATCATTTAATATATTATACACTTAACCTTTGAAATAAAATTTGTTACACCAACACTCCCTTTTCTATTTACATTCAATACCAGCAAATCATAGTAATTAACTTGCTTAATTCCCCTAAATCCAACCTTTAATCTCTCACCTCTCCAGGTCTACGTTTCTCATCGCCTTCCCCAAGCTCAAAAAGCTACTCCTCTCCTCCTCTAAATCCATCTCCTCCGTCTCCATCTCCCCTGTAGACTTAGCAATCGAACTGTACTCCATCTTCTCCACATACCTGCTACTCAATAAAAGGTAGAAAAGCAGAGATAAGCTTACCACGGCCGCTAAGCTCCAGCTGAACTCAATGTTCGCCAGTGACTTGGCTCTGTGTAGAGCTTCATCGCTGCTGCATCGAACCACGTAATGGCCGTCCTCTTCGTTCATAAAACATCCCTTAGGGATCAGCGCCGGCGTCCACAGAGCGTAGCCCATTACAATGAACCAAATCCCTTGGAATCCAATGCTCACGGATCGCACGAATCCGACGGAGAAACTTCTAGGGTATCCGATTCCCATCAGGGTTGTTATAAGGGAGACGGCGATGACGAGCTGGAGAAGCCAATGGTACTGTCCCTCAACCCCCATGTGATCGGAGGAGTGGAGATGGAAGAGGAAGAGTTGCTGTGCGAAGGCGGCGGAGGCGGCGAGGATTGTTAGAGGTTCGGCGGCGGGTCGGGCGGGTCGGGTCCGGTCGAAGGTAAAGGCAAATGCAGCGTAGAGGAGGAAAGTGAGGGAGATGGAGGCGTGTTCGAAGTTGTGGAGGTGGTTAGAGGGGATTGTGAGATCTGGATCGAGGGGTTGGTGTCGTTGCGGGCCTATGAAGAGTTCCATGGCAATGGAAGCGCAGCTGCCGGCGGCGATGAGGAAAAGCTCGAGGTGGCGGAGTTTGGCGGCTGGGAACCAGGGGAAGAAGCGGTAGCTTCTGGGGTGGAGGGAGTAGAGCTTGGTGTGATTGTAGAGGTGCCAGAGACCTATCAGGAGGAACCCGAAGCCAGGGGCCACATGTCCTATAAGCGTGCCCATGGGTTTGGTTTCTTTGCTTGGAGGTTGAAGAAAATGGCGCAGGAAGAGAGGTGATGGAGATTAGGGCTTCGTGTGAGGAAGATTGGAAGGGAAGAAAGAAGGGATGGTTGGGGTAATCCAGTGGGTCGTGGAGGAAGAAGGTGACCGGAGGGGTTTAAGAAGAGGAGGGAAACTGAAGAAATTCTGGAGAGTTCTGTGGAGAAGAATTGGGAGTTGAATTTGAAGAATAGATTTATTATTAGAATTTTTTTTAACACAATAAGATATTTTATTTATATATTTTTTTTTATATTTAGATTAAAATTTAAAAATATGGATGCAAGAGATTCTTATTTTTATAAATAATAAAAATTGAATATTTTATATTATTTTTTTAGAAATTTTATTTTTTTATCTCTCTTGAAGCATCCATTTGAACTAATATTCAATGAAATATTTTTTGGACCAAATACCTCATAATGAGAAAGGCATTATATTCACATATTGTTCATTGGAATCTTTAAGTCTTTCAAAATTAATTTCAACATTACTTATATTTTATTTGGGATATTTTTTTTATTATTTTTAAAAACAATTTTTTTAGTACAAAATTTTTTTGAAAATAATGAAAAGTTGTGCTCAAAAGTTGTCATGAACAAAATTTTAGGCTTCATTTAGACGGCTTTTTTTACCACTTTGTAAATTTGTTGTAAATAAAATACATTTTTGAAAATATTATAGAAAGCAAGTACGTGATACGAAAGTTTTTTTTAAAAGCAATGAAAAAAAGTGGACAAATAAAAATTATAATTCTCGTCTAAAAAATAAATCAATAAAAAAATTGTTCCAAACGAAACCTTAAACTCAAGATATCAACCAGAATGCACCACGTTAGTGGTACCAAGCCGCGGTACCGAGCACATGGGTGACGTGGTGCATTTTGATTGGCCTCTAAACGACATTCAATATCTGCACATAATAATTTTTTCTATTGGTGAGGCATTTTATTACAAGTGAGGTTAGAAATACAAATATTAAATGTTTTTAAGCTTTTTAACCTCAACGATGTTTTAAAGAGTAATTGCACAAATAAATATTTTAAAGAGATTTGTCCAATAAAAAGTCACATTTTCTTTTAGAATTATCATTTCTTTTGCAGCAAGAAAGGATGGCCTACAGTCAAACCGTGGAAATTTCGTAAGTGGTCAAAGCTGACCGGCAGCTTCTCGTAAAGCTCAAATTGGCAGCTTCTCGCAAAGTTCAAATAGGCGGCTTCTAGAAGTGGACAAAAATTAAAAAGGTCATATTTTTCTATAATATATAGAGTAATATTCAAATGCTTTTACATTCTCCTGAGAGAGATACAAATAATTAATTTATTTTACTTTAAAAAATTTTTAAATCAGCCACTTGTTAATATTGTTAGTGAGCAATTATGATAATTATTTTTCTAAATAGTGTTTATGTTTAATTAGTGATTGTTTTATATAATCCAATTAATCAAAAAACTTTAATGATCTTCATTTCTCTAATATGGGGATATGCTACACCTATTTCTCTATAGGATCCAACATGGTAGCCTAGAAATTGCTTTTGTTTAGCTTGACCAAATGCATTGGTCGAATCTAGATTAGCAATTTTTGCTTTGTGCCCATATACTCTGTGTTGGTTGGATTTTATTATGATGTCTTGTTAGTAGTAATGAATAAGATAATGACGTGATTTTAATGGGATTGTATGACCACATTTGGGAGGGCTTTCTGACCTCCGATCCAACATATATAACTCAACATGTCCCTATCAAAGATTAGATGTTTCTGCGACAGATAATCGCCGCTATAGATAGTTATAAGCGGCGATGTTTTCGCCGCTGCTAATTTTCTTATTAAAAATTGATATTTTTTGCAACATTCAATAACAGGATTTTAAGCCCTTGTATTAGCTATTGAGAACTACTTAGTATTCTTTTCACTCAATATATGTTCAATCATCCATTCGAAATTGCTTGTGCATCTATTTGAAATTGCTTATGTATTTATTTAATCAGCTGAAATTTTGTTTTTTTGCATTATATATATATATATATATATATATATTAACATCTATTTTAATCCCTGCTAAAAGTGCTGCTAAAGCTTTCCCACATTAGTGGTTTCTAAACCACAGCTAAAGCCTTTACAACGAACGCAAATGCAGCAGATGTACAACGGTTTCTAAACCATTGCAAATAATTTCGCAGGTGCTTAAACTGCTACTGTAGGTTAGAAAAAGCGTTGCAAAGACTTGATTTTTGTATAAGTAATACTTAGGGTGTGTTTGGAACAATTTTCTAGCTGCTTTGTTTTTCTGACAACAATTATAATTTTGTTTAGATATTGCTTTCTTATTATTTTCTTACTATTTTTTAAAAAATTTTGTGGTGAAAACCTACTTTCTGCAATCTTAATAAGAAAGTTATTTTATCTATAGTAATTTTACAATTAACTTTATAAAGCATTGTCATCCCAAACAAACTCTTAATATCATTTGCATGAATATGCCCTTGAGCACGCATATATTTTCAAATAATAATATATATATATATATATATATATATATATATATTACTATATATAATTAATACTATATATATTATATATATTATATATATAGCCTAATTGTCTTATGCAATGATATACTAAGTCACTTTAAAAGCTTAATTTATTTATTTTATATTTTATATCTCAACTTGTTTAGATGAGTCATTTTTTATTTCCGGCAAGTTTTATGAGACAAATTAGGCTTACAACTCAATCTAATAGATTCTTTTGTTAATTGGGTAGGGTTGACTAAAAATCCTCTAGTCTTTGATAGATCCGTCATGACTTTACCCTTCTCAAGTATGGGTCATGATAATATATAATATATATATATATATATAATTATTTATATATATTATATATATATATATATAAAATATAGGTATATAATATATATATATATATGGTGGGAGTACTATTAGGTAGCAATGAGTTACTAGAGGAAGAGAGTATTATGCTGTTATTGTGGAAAAACTCTAAATTGAGTGGTTACGCGAGGTTGACGAGTAGTTTCTCAGTTTTACTTTAACTGGGTTATTGTCATATCAGAGTCTTATCGTCGCATAAGAAAATTTTGCCCAAAAAAAATTGCGTTACGATTTTCAGTTGCCACAATCATGTTTCTTAAGACGTTATCTAATAGACATATTTGTGCATTACATCTCCTATGCCCGAAGTTTAACAGGCATATGGCTCTGATAAGCGGGCCAATCAAAGTGAACTTAAGAATTTATGTAATCAACTTGATTTTTTTTCGAAGATCAACATACGAACTTATTTAAACAATTATTGATACATTTATACAAAAAAAAAAAATCAATAGTAATCGATAGATTATGAAGCTGATAAATTACATTAAAAATATATATTTTATAATTTTTATATTATAGTCATAAACTTACTATAAATTTATAACAATATTTATTACATTTTTTTTAAAAAAATATTTATTCAGTAATAATTCTATCATTATCATATATAAGTCATTTAAAAAATAACCTCTTTGCCAAATATCACAAAAAAAAATGTGATATAAATGCCCCTTTTTATTGTATTTTATATTTTTGTCTCCTATAAAAAAATCCTCATTCTTCTCGAATTGTATGTGTGTTGATTGGTTATAAGGATTTGGGACAGGATTTTATGCCATGGCTTGGTACGGAGCCGCCAAAGCTGCCCTCTCTATTGAGCTTCTAGAAGGCCAAAATGACGTGTCTACCCTTCCCTCCATCGATTTAGCCACCTGGAAATTTCTTCGCGGAAGTAGCAATTCTAGAGGAAGGTTCGGATGTTTTTGACCGTTGATTTTTGGTTTACGTGGCGGGCTCGGCTTTACGATCGAGACTTTCTATGGGACTAGGCCCAATTAAGAAATACCCAACGCATCACATACTGAACCCTGAACTTAGGACTAAGCTTCAACCATGCAAGGAGTTGTTTTCAGACTCTTGGATAAGAACGGCTAAGAAGCCGCCAAATAATAAAAAATAAGAAAAGGACGATTGACGACCTATTTCAGCTTAAGAATTTAAACCCGCGGTGGTGGAAGGTTGAGTCTTTAGATAGAGTACTCTCAAAGGTCAAATTTCGTCAATTTTGATATTTAATACCCTGGAAGTATAATAAATCATTACATATATAATATATATATATATATATATATATAATTACATCTTGACTTTCTTGCTTTGACTTTTTACATCTCTATCATTATAATACCTTCACTCGAGGTTTCTTCACTCAATAGGGATTATACCGATGAAATTGAATATTTCTTTATACATTGATGACTTCAACATATATGTGTATTATTTTTGTTGTCATTTCTATCATATATCATATATTAGGTTATTTTGATGAAGCTTTGGCATAGAGCTAGACAGAGTATCAAAGAGTATGTTTTGGTACTTATTCAAACATATGCTTAAACTTTGCTCAGACCCTGTTCTACGGTATTAAAGACAATCTTATTTGACCATTACTTGAACTATGATCAGATAATATGATCTCACTAATTGTTTGAATATGATTTGATTTATGTCTTAACCATATTCAAACGAAAAAGAAATTAATATGTTGATGACTTATTTTTTATATAAAATTCAAGTATCAATATTCCTAAATTGCGTGAAGGAGAATGTAAATAAGATATACAACTTGGTTGAAATTTCACAAAAAAATGGAGCAAATGATTGACGGTACAAAAATATTTTCTATGAAGATAACGTAAGTTGTATATGGATAGTGACATTTATTGATAAGGAACAATGTAATCTTAAAATAGCGGTGATGTATTGCTATTGTTATGAATTAATTTGATAGTCTTATGCGGCAATTTTTTTTATTTATATAAGTTCTTTATTGATTAGATAACATTGTCACAATTTAAGAATGATTACTTTATGCTTTATTATTTCGGCTCCACGTCGGTTTACGAGTTTGCATATCTATATAGTTTATTGGCCTCTGTATTGTACTAGTTTTATTGTTTTATAGGTTATATTATTACTGCATGTGTTTTACTGCTTCTACACAGATTCATTAATTATTATATGATTGTATTGCTATGATTTGAGTGATTACATGCATACTTCTTCTTTTTCATGTTTTGAGTTCAGTAGTAGCATTTTAGTAACCTGTTAGGCTTTTAAGCAAATTAGATGTGGTTTAATAATTTCAACTTAGGAAAGAGGATCAAGAGTACGAGTCTGATCAGATATAGGAATACTCAAGTTTTACTATTATTTTTATCTTTTAGTTATTCTTTTGTACTCAGGAGAGGGGAAGGCAGTATGAGATTTTTGTAAGACTTCTTACTAGTGTATATGATTTTGGAGGAATGAACACGGATGCAGATTAAATATTTTGATTAATAGAAGTTGCTTTTGTTAATTAGTATTTTATTATTAATGGAATTAGTTAGCACTGGTTGATATTATTAAAGGATAAAATATACAATTATTTGTGGCGTCACAATCACTTTTGTAAGAGGATTCTCCAAAGCATCCTTCCAAAAGTTATCAATTATAAGTAAGATCAAAACTTAAGGAAAAGAACTAAGAATAGGTCCAATTATAATGGTAAAACCTATAATTTAGAATATTTTAAGTATAATTTGTATTTTATTTTTTATCCAAAATTTTTATGGCTAGTTATATTTTTTGGTATAGTTGAAGTATTGTAAACAGGTGATTGAAAACTCTTCTTCATTAATGGTAACCAACAAAGCCCTATATGGGGTCCTTGTTGGGTACCCATGCTTTATGTGGACGGGCTTCGAATGGTGACTTTTGCCACGGATTGATGGCTTTACGGCTTGTTCCCTTTGCACTAATTACAATCTTTCAAGTCACATATCAGAATTTATCATGGTCACAGCGCAGTTTAGTGTTGCACATTGCATAGTAAGGATTGCAGTAATATAAAACATACGATGATTAGCAATGTAAATTAATTTATGCTACGATGTTGAGTACCAATCGATACCCACCCATGAGATCATGCACGTACCCGTACCCCACCCATACCAATTGTTTATGGGTGGGTAAATGGGTGGGTGTGGATATGGGTAGCCAATGCAGGTCTATGGTAACCAACCTCATTTTTTTTCTTCTATTTTTTTCTCTAAAAGGGGTTTCCCAAGAGTCTCATAATAGAAAAATTATTAGGTGCGGAGTGCGCACCGTCCGCACAAGCACTAGGTACCTAGTGGTACCCAGTGCCGGTACCTCTAGGTTCCCAATGCTTGTGCGGACGGTTCTCCCTGTCTGCACTCCGCACCTAATAATCTCTCCTCATAATGGCTATAAATATGGACTAAAATACTTTACAATTTTTCATGGATGAATAAAATATTTTGGTGGAAATTACTCTTAATTTTACTCGGTTGTTAATGGCTTCAAGTAGTTTTAGATAGTTATCTTTATATTACTTCTCCTGACTACGTACTCCAAACTGTTAAAATCTCTTCCTCCATGTCATTAGCATCCTTGAAGACTAATAATATAGCAAACTAAGCCTAAAAACCATTCTAAATACTTTCACTAAGCTCTCAACCAAACTAGAGAACATAAGTCTTGTTTCCTACATCTCGACATCCTCTTAAACTCACAAAACTCTACTATCAACTTCAAATCATAAGTTTATATTCTAAGTTTTCTCTTTTTTTGCCATTATTTGAATCTAATTTTTGAATATATTTCTCCAATTAAATAAGCAAAATGAATATTTTTTATTTTTCATGATATGTATTTATTATGATGATTTGTATATTTTAATATTTTGATAAAAAATTTATAATTACACTTAAAAATAGGATGCCTTTTTAAATAGGAAAATTTATGAGCCGCCAATTGACAACATATAATATAATCTATATATACTATTTTTTTTCTTGAAAAAAAGGAAAGAAAAAAAAAAAGAAAAAAAAAGCACTAGGTTTATTTTTTTCGGATCAACGGCGAACAAGCTGAGGAGCCGAAGGCGATGGGAACCAGAGAGGTATACGAGGAGAAGCTCCGTTCCGGCAATCTCTACCACGACCCCACCATCAATCCCGGCCTTGGCACTGCTCGTTGCCCTCGATGCCTCTCCCTCGTAAACCCTAATTCGGTCTCTCTCTCTCTCGCTCGCTCGCTCGCTCGCTCTCAAACCTCCTGCTGTTATTATTTTAATTTGTTTTGGCAGACTCGTTGCTTGATTTTTTACTGTATTCTATTTTAATCATGATAAATTCTTACCTTGTTGATTGGAATTTCTTTTCAATGTCTCTTTAATATTGGCAAATTAAAAAAAGAAGAAGGAAATTTGTTGATCATGGGGTTTTGCTTTAATGCAGCAAAAAGAGAAGTGGACTATTACTCCGGTTCTGCATGATGCAACCGCCGTGGTATATGATATTCTTTGGGACATTTATCCTTCAATTACGATTATAGATTTGACTGCTTTATTCGTTGATATGAGTTTCTCATGAATTTGGTTGAATGGCTTTGTTGTTGAATAGATTGGTTCAGGCATCAGTGCCATGCTTAGTGCAGTTCACGGATTCAACAAGGGTATGGTTCTGCTGGAACTTTATTGAATTTGTAGAAGTTAAGGTCTTTGTGGTTGATTTATCGCTTTATGTGTTCCCTTCAGGTATTCCATTCATTCAGAAACATGTGAAGGGACCAAAGTGGCTACATGTGGCTGTAGGGGTGAGAGTTTTCTACATGCTTATTGTTGTGATTTGGATTTTGTTTTATGGTTTGGTTTGATTGAAACTCTCAAAAAAATTTGTGGGTTGTGCTTAGGTGGCTTGCTTTTTGTTTTTTGCAATGGTTTGAATAATGAACCTTAACATTAGAGATCAAATATTATCACTCAACCGAGTGATTGGTGATGTGAGTGTAGTCAAGCGAAAATCAACTAAAGACGAGAAAACAAACATAGGAAATAAAATTACGTGATTTCGTGAGATTCACCTGCAACTGCAATGATTGATAAAGAAAGCTATTTGTTGCACAAATGAATGTTGGGCATGGAGAGAAATGTTTTTGTTATTGTGCTTATTTTTTTTCCCTTGCTATCGAAGGATTCCAAATGAGAGTCTATCTGTTTTTGAAGAAGAATGAAAAATTTTTCATAGTTATTTGTGTAGTAGTTCATTATTAGATACTTGTTTGATGAAGGAAAAGATGCACTTGTGACTAATATTTATCTCCATTGGAATGATTTCATTGAGTATCAATGTATCATGAGTATCTTCCATGGCAGTGTTCATTGTTACTTTATTTGGCTTTTGGTCTTTTTCATGCTTCTTCTTCCCACGCTCTTTCATTATAAGTCTAGACTTATCATAGTACCAACATAATCTTGGGATTTGATTCTATTTTGTGATTTGATTAATGGTTCTTATCACAATATTTTTATTTGCCTCTCCCTTTGTTGTTTTTTCCAGGAAGTATGCTTCTATTATTGATATTTAAAACAAATGTTGATGCGCCGCCTATTTTTGTGATGTGTGATGTCTTGTTGAGGTTGAGATATCTAATTTTATTTAAATTCATAATGGTCAATTTAGAAGAATTTTTGTTGGCCTTCTCAACATTGTCCCATCATTCAGGATTATGATGAAAGTAGACTTAAAGCATTTATGTTTTGATTTCGTTGATGTGAAGCTCCTTTTGATATCATAAGATTAAAGAATTTTATCATTTTATATACCTTATTGATTGTGGTAGATTTTCTTACATATTGGAGAGCACCTTCATGATGCCCACTGTAATAATATTGTTGAGGATGTTGAATGGGACATTCATAGGGAGGGATTAGTTATCAATTCATAGAGCTTGTATGTTCATTAGCTCCCACATTTCCTGATCAATTGATTGCAGATTTACTCCTTCCAGTGGTTGATGGGGCTTTCCTTGGCATATATAGTCCTCTATTTGCATTTTTCTGAACCTGAATTTTCGGCCATCAAACTTATTGATTTTTATTTTCTTTTTCTTTATGCTTGGATCTAAAAGCTTTATGGACTACTACTCTAATATTATTTGATAGGATTATAATAAATTTTCAAGCAAAAATCAATGAGAACAAATACAATAGAGATAAAAAATTTATGCGGGTCAATGAGATTCAGCTACATCATCGATCCCATAGAGATGAAATAATTCCATTAAGCCTCAAAAGAGGTATATTAAGAGATTACATTTTATATAAGATTAGAGATAATGGAAGAGATTCAGTTTTATCTATGTCAATGGTTGTGCGAGAACACAAATACTGATATGAAGAGGAGGTTTGAGCGGGGAGAAGAAGACATTGCTCTGGTTACTCTCTTCTCTTCTTTGTTTCCCGAGTCCAAATGAGCTTTTCCCTGCGATAGCTGAGTTATTTTTCTCTTGTTGGAATTAAAAATATATCACCTTTTTTTTCTGTTGAAGAAATCGAATACCTCTCTGCAAGCACCAGAAAACTCCTCTCCTTCTTTCTCAGATGATAACCACTCCCCTCTCTCTCTACTTCCTTCCTGTTTTGGGATTTAAAATTCCTTTTTCTATAGTATTAATAGCTGTAACAAGACATTAGCTTGAAAACATATAATTAATTACAAAATACTACAAAATTTCACATTATCTGTTAGAATCAATGAAAGCTCACATAACCCACATTAGTGATTTAATAATATATTTACAAATGTCAATCCAATATTTGCCATTAATACCATATCTCAATTATATCTTATGGAGATTTGATAAGGATGAAATTCTATGTCAATAACTTTAACAATGACATTCTGCTCTGCCATTCAAAAAGGAATAGTGGTCAAATTCCTAAAAACATCCATTAATGCTTTGTGTTTATTTGTATTCATATACTTGATCTGGAAGATGTATTACCGGTTAATGGCAGCAAATAGATAGAATATTATATTTCATTTCCAGAAAAAATAATTAATTTTACATTCTTATTATTGTAAATTTGAACTGCAAGGTTTTTTCCTATGTAAAAAGTCATGGAACTTTATATTTTAAGGTTTTAATTCTCCTGCTTCAACAATTCTAATGATCTTGATGAAAAATCTTGATTTTGCTCCCATAAATCTTGTTTCAATTACTAGAGATTCTGATGATGGTTGAATTATCTTTTATATGAAGCTACTTTTCTTTCAGGACATACAGCTAGTTTAAGCTAGGAATCTAGGCAATTAACATCGTTTGATTGTGTTATATATATCTATTATCTCTCTGTATTTTGCAATTGGAGCACAATGGCATTCTACCCTGCTATATAATATGAGTTATGCATGCAGGTGTCAGATTAGAAATTGTTAATTTGATGATTCATTCCTATTTTTTCCATGGTGACAAAATTTTGCAGTGCTAGCATATTATTTGAACTTTCCGATTTCTTTTTGTTGATTTTGAGTACGTTGGTTTCATGTTAGGTAGGCTTCTTAACCAAAATTGGTATGAATGCATGAGATTTGCGCAAATTGCTTATTTTATAATTTTGTGTACCAAAACATGTGTCATGTGGGTACTTGCATCTGATTGTCCATATAATTTAATTAAAGTTTCGTTTGGAACGGCTTTATTATTGCTTCTTAAAGCAGCTTTTTAGTATAAAAAATTTAATTTTTGTACTAGAAAGCTGCTTTAAGAAGCAATAAGAAGGCCATCCCAAATAAAGCCTAAATAAATATTTAATCATGCAGTTTGAAACCGCTAGTTTTCTTTTCCCCATATGTGTATGCATTTTGATTTCTGTGATTTATGTTATGAAACTTCATATAATTTCTCAACCATCATTTTAACTTGTATGTATCTGCTTCATTATGAGTATTCAAGATGCCTATTTTTTATTGACAGGTTCCACCTCTCGTTTTGTTTTCTGGAGCTAGTGCTGCATTTGGAGGTAAACTACAATTTGTCATGGAAATGAGCTTTTCCTTGGGATTTTCAAAAAGTGCTTATTTTTATGTTTTTCTTTATATAATGGACGTTTGTGGCAGTGTGCACCATGAAATTGGCATTATTGATAAAAAAAAGTCATTGATATGGAAATGAAGACTTCTGTTGACTTTTTGGAACATAATTCATGAATTTGTGAGAAATCACTTATAAATAGTTGAATGGTAGTAATGGATTTCTAGTCATATCTAATAGAAACTGTGTTGCCGATACCGTTCCTTTGTCCATTTGGTGGCTTGTGTTTCTCTATTTTTTGTAGATGATTGTGTTCTAATGATTAACCCCCCATTTTTTTTTATTAGGCTTCCATGATTTGCTTGCTACTCTTTTTATTTCTGACTAAGGCTTCGTTTGGGACGGTTTTCTTATAGCTTGTTAAAGCAGCTTTTTAGTACAAAAATACTTTAAGAAGCTGTAAGAAAGCTGTCTCAAATGAAGCCTGATTCTTTCAAGTATGATTCTAATTAAAATAGAAAAAAAAAAAAACATTTTGGTCAGAATATTCAAATCAAAATTTAATCATGATGGTTTTAAAAGCACTGAATTTATTTTGAGTCGAGTAAATATGAAATTTGAATGTTTAGTCATATATCACATTCATATAAAAACAAATTTATTTTTTTGAAATTTATTCTGATCAAAGTTGTGATAATGGAAATATTAGTTGAAAGTTTTTGCTCTTTATTATTATTATTATTGCAGCATATGCCGTGCCAGCAGTTGTTCAACTCTCAGTGTCTTCTTATTTCGCTTCTTGGAGTGCTTCCCATTATGTGATATCTCAGGCCACTAGATACATTGAAGGAGATCATATTTCTCGCAGTCTGGAAGACAAGTCAAGATGATCCTTCTTATGAGAAAAATTTCAGGTTACATTCAATTCATATTTATTGTTATTTTTATTAAGCAAATAGACATGAAAAACTTTATATAGTAATCCATTATAGGTATTAGAGTTATGCCACCCACATTATCTACTATCATTTATTTACCACTTAAGTAATTGGCTCGACCCCTATTTATTCATATCCTTGATCGTTGTACGCTTCACATATATGTCGGGGGTCCACTGCCCCCGAAACAAATTTTGGTTGTAAGGATATTTTGTATTCTCTTTAACATTTCTCTTTGTATTTGGTTCATCGTTCCCTAACAATAACACGGGGGCACCCTGGGCTTAAGGTGGATCCGCCCTGTTTATAGATACTTAATTTGAACTGGCGCATCACCCATTCAATTTCGAGGGGCTTGAATCAAAATCTTTTATTGTAAGCTGGAATAATACAATATTTATTCATTAATAAACTTAAAATCTAAAGCAATACAAATCTAACACGTTTATTAAATGGGTTGAAAATCTAAGCTGGAATCTCACTCTATTTTACGCAAACTTGGGCCGAACATAACACAAGAATATGTAAGTAGTGTTGGATCAGTTCAACTTGATCCAAAATGGGTGCGATAAATGATCAAGTAGTTGGTCATTATGTGCGAGATGATCCGAGCCTAACCCGATACAACTCGAACTTAGCCTGGTTTTCTTTCAAATTGCTAAGCTAACCTGGACTTGAATTGAATCTTAGCTAATCAAATTGCTAATTGTATGTGGATTGATCTTGAGTCGTAATAAAGGCCTACTTAGCTCTTTAAGCCGGAATAGAGTGGCGAAGGTGAAGAGCTTGGGCCTTTATGATTAGCCTAAAATATTACTTAATTATTTGTTATTTTGGCCCAATTATTTACTAATTAACATAAATAGCTTATATTATAATCTTAATAATTAAATTAAATATAATTATTCTTTTATTAGCATAATTAAGTAGTTATTTATGATTTAGTCGTGCAATTTAATTAATTAATTAATTATATAGGCATCTTATTGTGATTAAGCAATAAGAAATTTTATTAGTCATAATTAAGGTTCTGTTTGGGATAGCAGCATTTTTATTGCTTTATGAAGTAACTTTTTAGTATAAAATTTTTTGAATTTGAAATTTATGTATTAGAAAGTTGTTTTAGAAAGCAGTAATAAAGTAGTTACAAATATTTAGATTTTGTTTGGGTCAGCTTTTTTGTTGTTTTCTAAAATAGCTTTTTAGTACAAAAAAATTCTTGAATTAGAAAATTTTATACTAGAAAGTTGTTTTATGCAGTACGAATGCTATCCCAAATAAAGTCTTAATTAACTTTAATAAATATATTATAATAATTTTTTAGTTAATTATCTCATTTCCAATCATCAAAATTAAATTATAAGCCTAATAATTTTAATTATAACATACTTAATAATTAATTAGTGTTATTAATATCTTGTTGTCCTAATCCGTCTGCCAAATCAAAGTGGTTGTTGCGTCCTGGAGTATTCGCGGCGGTAGAGAAATATAGTTTAATGTCTTAGCATTGTACGAAGATCCAGCACACAATCAGATAAGTGAGAGGGTGTAGCATTCATAAGAGACACCAGAGTTTTTTACGTGGAAAACCCCTGAAAAGG